TCTTCTCATTCATTCGCTGGCCTTCATCTCTGCTACGCTGCCCTTCCTCTCTAGTCTCTATTCTTTCTTTCTTCGTACGCGGTATGCCTAGGACACCCCCTCTCTGTTCCTTTTATCTTTGTACGCCCAGGATACCCCTCCGGCCCTCCCCTCACATACACATATCAACTCACAAAAGAAGACATACAGGATAATACACTCACACACACAAACTATTGAACAAATTAGCTCCAATTTCTTCTTGACAATATAAATCAAAATCTAATTAAGCATAATTTCTTAGCTTTTAAATAGAAACGAGGAAGAAAAGCGGATTGAGAGATAAAGGAATAAGGAGGGGTTTACATTGGGTAGAAAAGAAAAGGGAAAGAAATAGATTCTTGGGTTTTGTTGATAAGTGATGCTGGAGCCTAGAGGTGTCGAACGGGGAAGCAAGTCTACAAGAGGAATAATGAGCGGAGTACCATGGAAGGAAGAAGGAAGGAAGAAAAGGAAATAGAAAAAGGGTAAAACAACATAGCCATGCCACGTCACATGCCAGATGTGTAGTTTACCTGGGAACCGGGAGTTTACGGGTAAAAAGGCCAAATTGAAAATTTTATAGGAGTTCAAGGGTCTAATTGGATGATAAATGAGTTGGAGGGCTTAATTGACTTTTTTGTTATAGTAGAGGGACTTATTTGACAGTTTTCCCTTAATAAAACGAAATGTCTGTGATCTCGAATTGTCTGTGCACAAACAATTCATTTTTTGGAATTACATATACTTTCTTTTACTTAAATTCAAGCCGCACAGACAATTATACTTGAGAATATAAGCCGACATGTAAACTAAATATACACGAAGCAAAATCCATATAAATTGGATCAACCCATTCAACGGGTGATCGTTAATTCGATTATAGCCCAACCGAATTTTAAAACAGTACTCATACATAAGAGGCGCAGGCACCAGCAACGGTCAAATCTTCACAAACAACTCCAAGCAGGGTCCACCTCCGCCCAGCCAGATCCAGCCGCCAAAGTCACCGCTCCCCTCTGCTCACCATGCCGGGCGCCGCCGCCGTCCATAGGCTGCACAGAGAAGAGTGCAAGCGCACTAAGCACGACTCTGCTTTCTCCGAATGGAAGGTCCATCAATTTCACCCCTCCTTTCGTTTTCGAATTTTACCGGCCTTTTTCTAATACCCTAGATCTGGATTTCGCATATTATATTACTTCGTTTTCGTATAATAATCTAATCGTCGGGTGAAAAAAAAATAGAATTCTCAAATGCTGTTTCATTGAGATTGAAACAAATTGAAATTGTGTTTCTATATGAGAAAGGTCATTATAACAAAGTATGGTGCATTTTCATTCCAGATTTTGGTGGGGCCATCTGATTGGCAAGACTACGTCTTGGGTGTGGAGGGGGCTGAAAGATACAGAACTCAGAACCTTCCAAACTCTGCTTCTTGCCCTGGAATTTATGAGCTTGGTATTATCTCAGTTCCAAATGCTCAATCAAGGCTAGAGACTAACAAAAACAATTTTGATACTGCCAACGTTGTTCCAGTCTATGTTGGACAAGCTGACAACGTTAGGACTAGACTTCAGCAGTATGGCCGCGATGGTTCTCATTTAGAGAATGGTTGCGCAAAAGCTGATTTGTCTTTGGACAAAGATGCCGTTTGCCTTAAGGGGCCTTCATTCTTCACAAGTTCCTTTTCTAGAGGCTTCACCATTGCATATAGGTGGGCTCCGGTAAGTAGAGTTTTAATTCCTTCAATGTTCTTTACTAATATACGCATGTTTTGTGGCTAGCATGTTGATTTCATAATATCAACAACAAGTAATAGACTAATATGAGGTTCTATCTAAAATGGGTATGGAATTGCTTTAACATATCTCTCGCTTATTGAATTAAACCAATCTAGAATTCTATGTGTTCTTTATTGAGGCTTATAAGGAGTGAATTGTTCATTGCAACTTAATGAGCTCGGATACCATATTGAAAATGGGTTTTCATACTCTAAAATGTCAACCGGATTGGAGGAGTTGTCCAAGATGTTATATGTGAATATTATCTTCATATTTAAACCGTGTGAGGTGACTTATCATTCGATTCTAGTAACCCTTGACGAGTTCATAGGCTTTAAGATTAGCGTGATTTGAACTTCGAAGTCTTAATATTTTGATCCTCATTGGTGGTTTGGTGTGAGTAAATGTGGCTAAAATTGGTAAATTTTCTAACATATGATAAAAAGATATTCAACAAATAATTTTTTTGATAATTTTATAAAAATATAAGAGATGTAGTGATTTTCTCTAGCAAGTAAATTAGTCTTTGGTGTAAAAAGATGACTCCTGAGGCTAAAAAGATGAAAAATTGACTACCAAAAGATCACTTAGTGTGTTAACTCATTTAAGATAATTGACGCTAGAAATATCACCTCTGACCCCGACATAGTTGGGATTTAAGGTATTGATGATGAACAGATGATGCAGATAATATTTCTTGACAAATTTGTTTGATTGTTACAGATGAAAAGCAAGAAGGATGCTGAGAGGGCAGAAACTCAACTACTTGATACATTTGATTATGCATGGAACACAGACAGTAACGGTGCAAGACGTGATAAAGACGTCTTCTCCAAACTTGAGTTCATCTCATCAAGAGCATCTTCTCTCCCCCTTATCATACCCTCTATCATTACTAGGCTCAAGTCATCGTTTCAAAAACCAAAAGGCATCAAAATTGAAGCTTGTGAACCTCTTCCTTTGCAGAACGGATCTCAATTCTATAATGATGCTAAAAGCAGTCACTTCCTTCCCCAGATTTTCAAATTTGGGAGATCCCGGCCAACAATAGTTTCAGTTAACTCTGGGGTGAATGAAAACCATGTCAGTAGCATATGTGGAGTTGCACTAGGCCATGGATCAGTTTGTATAAGGTCACCTGCGAGTAAGGGAAGCAAAAGGTGTTTTGAGCATAGGGGGATGAAGATTAACGGATTATTAACTCCAAAGTTGATTGCTAATGATGAGAAGAATTCAGAAGAAACTCGTATTTGTGGCTTTCTCCTAGAAAATGGTTCCACTTGTGTGAGTAAACCATTTGGGAAGAACAAAAGGTGCATAGAGCACAAGGGAAGGAGAATTCCCGGGAAAGGGAAGGAGATGAAAGTTCAATCTGAGATGCAAAAATCCTATGATGATTCACAAGATGAATGTCTGAGGAATAAAGAAGATATTACTCATTGTCTTATTATTAGTCCTTTCAAAACTACTGCTAGTGAGGATGAAAGGAGCAATTCTGTGAGAACTTGTGGGGCAACTTTGAAAAATGGGTCCTCTTGCAGAAGAAAACTCGCTGAAGGTAATAATAAGCGATGTTGGCAGCATAGCTAGCTGAGTCAAGTCCCCAGGGAATGTTACTTACCGTTCAAAGGTTCCAACCTTATACTCTGTTTTATATAGGATCTCATATACATTGTGTCGTTGACAACATACTGAAAGAATAGTGATAGCATGTACATGCTGAGCATATACATACTGGTCTGCTAGGATCTCATATACACATGCTTAGGAAACATTATGTACCTAAGTATATATCATACTGGTATCTGCTACGGAGTTCAACACCGTGGCAACACATTCGGTTTTCGCTAGTGCAAGAACCATGGAATATTTTTTTAAAATATTTATTCGAGCAGAATGATTGATGCTTCTGTTTGGAAATTTTTTTAACATCTTAATTTTTAGATATTGTTGTAATTACTTTTTCAATATACTTTTAACATATTAATTTAAATATTTGAACAGAATGTTACTCCGTATTTGTTGTGCAAATAGTCCCAAATATTGAAGGTAAGGGTGGTGGACAGGTTGAAGTTGTGTTCCCGCTAAGCTTCCAATTTTCTGGGCACGGCAGTCTCGGATTGTGGTTCTAAGGCTGGCGGTGTCATGGCGGTGTCATTTTCAGTCAGACCTTGATTTAAAATATATTTGATGGAACTGAGACCTTGCCAGCTTTGGTCCTGGATATACTGTTGGTCACTGTCCTAGTTCTGGACATGGACTGCCCGTTTTTCCCACAGGTACCTGAACCGTGGCTGATGGACACTGTCCTAGTTTGGGACAAGGCCTGCCCAGTTTTTTCACTGGTACCTGAACCGTGGTTCCGCTTCACTGGGAACCAGTGCGGTTACAGTCTCCACAATAGGACCGGACAGGCCAATTTCGACTCTGCTGCCATTTTTTTTTTAAATAGATCTGGAGCTGGACCTATCGATCAGGAACCGGACCATGTCCACCCCTAGTTCTGAGTCTAGAACCAGAATCAGAACAATGTCCTCAGATGCAGGGGAACCTTTCTATGCATCTACCCAATTGCCTCTTTCATAATTTTCATATTTCATCACGAGAATAAAGGATTTTTCAACATGTGAAGGATGTCTTGTGACGGATTATTTTGATAATTTGTTTACACAAATCTATTGCAAGAAATCCTAGCAATTAAACCATCCATCTGCTATGTCATAGAGAATGCAAAAGGAAGACTGGTTTGTAGTAAATCTTGAGTTCTCCAACAGACGTATTAGGAAAATAAATTGTGCAAAAAGAATTGCTTTATTAATCATAGAGGTGGTACCTAAATGAATAAGGAGACCTATATGAATAAGAAAACAAATGTAATATGGTAACAAAAAATAGTACTACTCTAATACTCTGTATATTGTAATAAAATGCCTTTTCAATCAGCACTTTATAGAAAAGAAAATAATCTAAAAGGCCCCACACGATTTCTAATGGTTGTTTACTTATTACTTCCTCTGTTCTTTTTTAGTTGCAACATTCCTTTTTTTCATGCTTGACGATGCACAACTTTGACCGTCATTATATTTAATTCTCTATTTCTAAAAAACTTTTAAAAATTAGATTATGAAACTTTGTAATGAGATGAATTTAACAACATTTTTCAAAAAATAATAATTCACATACATTAATAAATTAAATGTAGTCAAAGTAAAGTACATGAATAGTGTGTAATTTCCAATGTTGCAACTATTATGATACGGAGGATAGTATATTCGTGTGTCTGCAACATTTGTCAATAAGATGGAGTAGAATCGTTTCAAGGTCTGCACCATTGCTCCATTCATGAACATCTGCTTTGATCAGCACCCCAGGGTTGCTGCTAAAAATACATTCCCACAAAGGAAATCCCTTTCTTGGCATAACATGATCACCTTTATTGAGCTTCAAAGTGGGGCAATAATCACCTCTTCCATCTCCTATATAAATGAATGTTGCACACACTTTCTCAGGGATAGAAGCTTGGACATGCTCCATTACAAGACCCTGCATTTGACAGCATGATATAAAATGAAAGGTTGAAATGTAATTTGATAGTTTATTTTTAAAAATGTAAAGTTAAGTATAATGCATCCCAATAGAAAATTATGAAACCGAAAACTGGTAGTAACACAGAATAGAAATACCTTGCATAGGTTGGGAGGGCAAAGATTGCAACTGTGAGGTGAAGCCAAATCATGGTAAGGAATTATTTGCATCCTACCTTCCCCACCAGTGGTGGTCGGGTTACTTATGATTTCTGAGAAACAATCATACAATCCATGGTGCTTCAATATGGTAGCAATGTAATATTGATTTGCATCACTCACTATTTTTAAGTCACATCTGAAACAACAGCATCACAGTAAGAGCAGAGATTGAATGAAGCTGTCAATGGTAATCTTTTACATAAAATACATTTTGCACAAACAAAGATTAACATACCCAAGGGCATGAGCTGACTTTATAGCTGAAATGGTCCGTGGATGCAATGGGACATGCTTCAAACATTCTGCTATGTCTTCAACCGTTTTCCCTTGTTTATGTATTTCCTCCACCATCCTATCCTGGAGAAATAGGTAGATCTTGAAAGTGAGTACTAAACAATTGTTGTCCAAAATTGTAATAATCCAAAAATTGTTGCTCTTTACTAGTAATAATTTGCTCTGTCCAAAAACGTTTTTCCAGCTATTCGTTGGGGTTGTCCCAAAAAGTTCTCATTCCAAGAGATATTTTTTGGTTTATAACTTTATGTGATGAATTAAAAGTTTTAGAGCACATTTGTTAACTCCTCTCGAGGCATATGAGCCGATTTTTATACCAAAGTACCAAACCCAAAATTGCTTTAGCTTTATTCAGATAGTTTGTCTTTGCTCTCTTAATGAAATACGTAGTATATTTTAAATAAAATTCTCTCATAATTTAGCTTATTTAGCAACTACTAGAGTCATAATTTCAACAATTTTAGCCAATTCCACGCAGAGTTATAATTTTCGCATATTTCAAATGGGCACTTAACCAAATATCACACACACAGAACTCAAAAAATGGGTTAAAGATCGCACTATTCTTTTAAAGACACTTTGAGAGTTAAAGCATGAATAAAAGTTGTACTTGAATAGTTGAGTTACCCATTTACACCCTCTTGTAAGAAGTTCAGAAAATTGTAAATATTGCAAATAAAACTTCTTTTCTAGGAGTAATTTTCTACCATTAAAAACAAAAGCAGTGAGTTGCTAAATAAAATGCTAACCATCAGAGAGGTCCAAGGCAATGTGAGTCGGAGCTGGTCGAACAGATGGGTGACGCCCATCTGTTCGATAACCCATCGGTCGGAGTCGTCTTCAATCAGCGTCCGATCAAAGTCGAATATAATTACGGTTTTGACTGCCATTGTTTTCCCAGCTTTTATAATAAAGACTGCCGGAGATGTAGTGCTGTAACTATTGAACTGGCAATCTCTCAGGCCTGATTATGTTTTGCAAGCGAAAGAGCCAGACGATGAAGAGCTCGAACTACTCTCTCACGGGAGGAGCAAGAGTGGAAATAGCCAGTAGCTTATTATCAGAATTTAGGATGAGAATTTAGAATGGATTAATTTCACGTAGACCACAACTAGAGATCAGAATCATCAGATTTGATATTTGTAATAAAGTAAAGGGGTGTATGGTATTAGAAATTAGTGGTAAAATTTTAAAAGTTCATTGATTAGGTGTATTCAATGTGAATATGATGGAATAAATCAAAATGGCTCACTAAATTGTCTGCTCTTCTTTGTTATGAAGCAACAATCAATTCATGCAATTTTGGAGACGATTTTCATTATGGGTCATTAGGAAACAGTCTTTCTGTGCTTTAGTACAGGGGTAAGACTGCGTACATCTGACCCCCTCTTACCACACCACAGGTGGGAGCCTTTGCGGCACTGGGGTAAATGATGATTGAGATGTATTCAATGTGAATTTTTAAAAGTCTACAAAAGTCTGGGTATATTCAAGATTTTTAAAAGTCTATAAAAGTTCAGGAGTATTCAAATTTCCGTTCGTTCTTATTGACTTCTAAAATCATTGATTCTTATGAACTTTTTACTCATTCTTAGTTCAATAGTTCTCTGGAATTGTCTCTTCTGCTCACCAAAGACTTCTGTGGACTTTTCTGTTGTCTTCTACTCGTCACAAATACGCATAGATCTGTAACTCATATGTTTGATTTTCCTTAAATAGCACTAAATATTACATTCTACCCCTAATTCAATTAATTAATATATTACCTTCGTTCCCCTATTATTGTCCCATTGCGGTTTACGGCGTTTGACCGACGATAAAGCAAACGAATCTCTGTCCCCACTCAAATTATTTTTAGAAAAAAAATTACATATTCAGAAACTACATTAAAAGCTTTACAAAGTGGCAAAAACCAGAATCAAATTTGAAAAGAAAAAAAAATTGATATATAAAGTAAGAGATTAAGAATGATTTGTGTTGACCAAGTAAATAAGAACTAGGTCAATAATAGGGGGGCGAAAGGAGTAATTAATTGCCACTAGTTCCATTGCATAACCAAAGTCATTTTATTGGTGGTGGATCAATTCGACGACAAAGACGGTGAACTCCGGTGATGGAGACATGCAAATCGGTAGCAGCGATCTAGGTGAAATTCTGATGACCCAGCAATGAGGATCTGGATTTAAAAGTCTATAGACTTTTTGAAAGTCTATAAAATTATCTCTGGACTTAAAAGTCAATAGAATTCGTTCATAAAAAGTCTATGGATTTAAAAGTCCATTGACTTTTTCAAAAGTCCATGGATTAAAAAAAGTTTACCATAATCCATATTCAATACACCCATCTAAGTACTCCCTCCCGTAAAAATATCTTGGTTTGACTTAATACAATGGAAATGTATGATGGTGATTGAGTAAAAAAAATAAATGAATTTTAGTCACACAAAGTTTTCTAAATAGAAAAATGAGAATAATTTAATGTCTCTAAAAGATAAGTGAGAAGAATTTTGGGAGAATATTAAATAGACATCTATCAAATAATTCAAATGTAGTATGGAGATATCTTTATAAACTAGTCAGGTAATTATGTGAAATCATAATTATTTATGATTATATCCACTAGATGGCTCATTGTAAGTGAAGTTTTCACATGATAAATCAAAAACATTGTTCAATCATGACTTTAAATAGCGTAATAAAATATTTCCATGCTAGGGGTTGGTTCGGTTGTTTTGTTCCGGTTCGGTTTTGACAACAAATCAAATAAGGAATTAAAGTAAAAAGTTCAATTTGATTTCAGTCTGATTTTACATTTCAAAACTTGGAATCTCGGTTTTATTGGTTCAGTTTGTTTCACTTGGACTTCGGTTTTTTTGGTTTTTTACTAAAATTTGTTATTTAATTTAAAATGATACAATAGTTGGGAGATCAAACATATTACATAAAAATGCAAGCATATTAAAACAATAAAATAAAATAAAATAAATAAGAGAAAAAAATTAATGTTTTAACTTATATGAGTATGCAAAAGAGATATCCTTGTTAGAACAAAAGTGTGTATCCTTGTTTTACAATTTTTTGTGACTAGTTTGAATAAAATTTAAGAATATATATGTACGTCATATATTATATACTTGAGATGAATATTTATTGGTTCTATCAATATGTAAAATTTTCGATACATATAAAATTAAAATTACTAGTGATATAATTAAAATGATATCACCATCATGCAACGGATTGCAAATACGTACATAAAAGACACATAATAAATCAATAGCTACATTATTATATGCAATGAATGTGTAAATGCTTTTATAAAATAAATTAATCATAATACAAAAATTATTTTTTTAGCACAAGAAAACAAAAGACTATCGATTTTTAGTGGTTTGACATAATCTGGTTACGGTTCGGTTAATTTTAATTCGATTTCGGTTTTTTATTTTTCAGACCCACCCCCATTTCACACCGTGATAATCAAACATAGTTATTTCTATGAAATAGATCACATTATCAACCGTGCTTACAATTTAATACATCTAGTGTGGACAGTGTTGTAGTTATTCACATCATTCCAACTCGTTTGTCAAAAAAATTGGCAATACAATAACTATAACTATAAACATCATGTTTTTATCTAATTATTGTAGACATAAAATGTCTTGCATGTCGTGTTCACGTATTTGTTTTCACCAATGTTCTTTAGGAATACAATTCAAAACATAACAATGACATTCGATTTTCTCATCATTTGCCGTATTAACATAACCGTAAACTATAACATGAGTTTAATCCCAAAATCATTCAAACGCAAGTATTGGTAGTTTGGCACCCATTTACACAATGTTTTGATTCATAGAACTTAAGGCTCAATATAAAATGAGATTTCACATCCATAGAACATCGTTCATAATTCACAAAATTGATGACTGCATATCCATTGTATTGCATATTATCTAGCCAAGATTTATTATTATAGATTATGAAACGATTTTGAAAAATACAGACCATTACCAACAATATCGTTCTTGTTTCAACAAAATCCTTTATATGACTCAAAAAAGGGGAATTGATGTTCTGTATCATGAATTTTTTTTTTATAAATTATCAGTAATTTATAGCATCCTCTTCTAAACGTTGTGTGACCTTTCTAATAAAAATGTGTCTAATTATGTATTCACATAATGGTCGTTTAATAATTGTTTCTTTCAATCACTTTGAAAGTCTACTTGTCATACGGGGAGCTCCTAAACCCCAAATCCTAAAGTATACACCCGTCCAACTCACTCTAAAGTCTAAACCCTTGATACCAACAGGTGGATCCCCCAGATTAGGACTATCTCACTCTAAACATTTCCATCAATCCCTATGTCCTCTACCAGCAATATGGTCTCATCATAAGAGATCACAATGGAAATATGATCTCTTGTACTAACAATCGTCTTCTGAATATGCCACACCGTAAAACTTTTCTTGACGTTATCCTTTCGGCCTTACTTTTCTACAGGGATCAAGTGATTCAAATCACCAACTTTGAATTGAAATTGATGATAGAAAGATCTTTATTGTTACCACTCAACAAAGTATCAAGTTTTTGGACTGCATATATACAAGAAACAATGGCAAGGATATTACTCCCAAGGTTTTTAAAGACTAAAATATGTCCACTTTTGAACTTGACAAAAAAGTGACTTCAAATCCGCTTCTCTCTTCCTTCGACGTTTCTCGCTTCGTTCGCATCTCATCTTCTGGCAGAGTGTTGGAGTTGACTTCCAAGCTTCCTCATCTCATCCTTCTCCATCTCACATCTCGCCGCTCTGCTGCCTCTATGGACGAAGCCACCGCCTCGAACTCTGCTGCCGCCCTCCCGTCGCGTCCCTTCTATCGCCTGTGAGCTCTGCAGCCGCCATAGACGAAGCCATCGCCTCGAGCGTTGATGCCTCCCATCTCGTCGCCTCACCTCCGCCGCCTGTAAGCTCTGCTTGCACATCAATTCGCCACCGCCTCATATCTTCTTCTCCTTTCTTCTCAATCGACTGAATCCCTATCAGATCTGAAGTATAGTGGCCGCTAGACTTTCAGATCTAGGCTGTGGTGCGGCGTGGTTGGGTGGGGCTGGGGTGCGTCCTTGTTTGGCAGGGCTGTGGGGTTGTGGGGCTGGGGAGATGAGACGGGCCTATGAGATGGGGTGGGGGAGCTGCTAGTCGGGCTGGGAAGGGGGCTTGGGGGAAGGGTAGGTGGCTGGGGGCTGAGGGAGTGGGGCATGGGGCTGAGCGTGGTGGTGCCGGAGGGTGACACAGGGGACAATGTTGACTGAGGCAGGTTGGGTTGAGTGAGGAGTATGGGTGGTGCGGCGGTGACTGGACGGGGTTGAAGGTTCGGGCAAGGGTTGCGGATTGGCGGTTGGGTGCCGGGATGGTGGCTGGTGTTGCTGTTTGACGGTGGCGGCTTAGTGAGGGGATGGTGGCTGGTGTTGTTGACCGGTGGTGGCAGTGTCACTCTGGCCGGAATAGTTGTGTGACTGCGGCCAGAATAATTGAGTCACGGCGTCACTGCGGTGGTGTAGGGTGATGGTCGGCGGTGGGGTTAGGGTGAGGTAGGTTGGGGCTGTGAGGAGCAGGGGATAGACGGGGTGATGACATGTCACTATGGCCGGAGTTGGCATGTCACTGCGACGTCGTCACTGCGGCGGCATCACTGCGGCGGCGTCACTGTGGTCAAAGGTTGGGTGGATGTCACTACTGCAATGTCACTGTGGCGTTGTCACTATGGCCGGCGACGGTCTCCGACGGCGGCAGCGGTCACCGGTGGGAGGTGGTGGCAAGGAGGGTGGATGTCACTGTGTCTCGTGTCACTGTACTACTGTAGCAATGTGTATATAAGCAAGCTTGTCACTTATTAGTCACATTTCAGGAATTTTTAAAAAGGGCAACTTTTTTGCCTATTGCCCTATATACAAATATACAATCGCCCGTATTAGAAGAATTTTACAAGTCAACCACACCCATCTCCGGTTCATCAATAAAGCTACAAATCGCACTACCAGATTTATTAGTGGATGCAAAAACACGAACTCAAGTCATTTTATGAACATTCTAAAGTTTGATACCATAGGTATGGGTGGCCCGTTTCCGGTCTGACCGGCCAGGGAACCAGACCGGACCGCCACTGTGCTGGAACGGACCGGGCCGGTTAACCGTGAATTGTTCCGGGCCTAGGACCGGGCTGGACCTCCTTTGGTACCGGCCGGGCCGGTCCGGGCCCATACTTTTTTTTGTTTTTTCAAATTTTTTTTGGTGGTAGGCGGGTTGGGCGGGGTGTTTGGGGGGGGGTGGAATTAATTTGAAAAGCTAAACAAAAATATCTGTATAACCCGAGCCGGTTCCGGGCCTTTACCCACAAACAAAAAGCCCGGAGCCCGGTCCGGAACCGGCCCATGCCTAACCATAGGTCTCTCGTATGTTACTCGGAATGAGGCTAGGCCTGATGCCATCTTATTCTCTTGTAGTCATGGACCCGGGCCAGTTCCGGTTCCGGGCCGGGCCCAGCCGGGCTTTTTTTTTGCGAAGGAAGGTCCGGGACCGGCCCGGGTAGCCACCGGTCCGAGTCCAGGCCGGGCCTCCGATTTGTTTTTTTTTTTTTTTTTGCTTTCCTAACCCCCCCCCCCCCACCCCCAAACCCCTCCTAACCATCAAGCCTAACCCGGGTGGAACCCCAAAAAATGGAAGGAAAAAAAAGTCAATTCGGCCCGGACCCGGGCCCGACCCGGCCGGGCCGGTTCGCCAAATACAAGGCCCGAGCCCGGACCCCCCCCCCCCCCACCGAGCCTAGGCCCGACCCGGACCCAAGAACAGGGCCAGTCCCGGTCCTGCACAGTAGCGGGCCGGGCGGCCCGAACCGGGTCCAAGCCTATTCTCTTGCCATCTTTGAATAAAATATGTCCCTTTAAAAAAACTTGACATTTTTTACACGTTTCTCTTTCCATCACAAACAATCTTTCTAGGATATTTCCTGACATTCCAAAATCTAATGATGCTTGTCTTTATATTCTCAACCTAATGATTTAGGTACATATGTATGAAGAAGTCACTTCTGGAGTCCAATTATGCATTCCTAAATGTGCAGTTTCAACATGTAGACCTATTTGGGAATTGGGACCAGGCGGTTTCGGCCCGTAACTGGGACCGGACCAACCCAGGTCCATCTCTAGGTGAAAGGAATGGTTGGATATAAGAGTGGAAGCGAAAGTCTATGTTATAGATACAAGATTGGTCGCTAAATCATTTGAATTTCAGGAAATCTTTGATTTAACAAGAACAAATACATCTTTAACATCATCCCCATCAATTAGTTCTAGTTTACAAAATAAATTACTACGTAACAAGATTAACATTGTGCAGCTAAACAGATAAACAAAATTAAATGAGATCAGCACCTCTCAATTATCGTCATCAGAGGAGGGGTTCTCAACATTACTGCCACTCTCTGAATCTGAATCGTCTTTGTCTGGGATTGTGGGTTTAACCGCAGATCCATCACACAAGTTAAGCTTTCTTAGGAATTTCACTTTCTTCCTTTCCAAGTCACTACCTCTCCCCTGCGTTTTCCGCTTTTTATCTGAACCGGTCATCAATTGAGCTGCAGCAACAAAGGCAGCACTAATGGACTCCTTCACCTCCTCCTCCTCCTCCTCCTCCTCATTCCCAATCTCGTTTTCTTCTCCCTTTGTATCAACGTAAAAAAGATCTGCATCTTCCTCTGGTTGATCACTGCCACTCTTAAGAACAGTCATATGTTTGGGGTCTTCATTAGCATCATCGTCTATCACTAGTTTCGCACATATTTGTGAGATCGTTTTGTCAAAAAGCTTTGCCCCGCCCTTTTCTACATTAAGGATCCATCCTGGACAGACAGAAACAAGTTTTGGGATCAAAACTTAAATTACTTACAATACCTAAAACAGGTTCCATAGTTAAAAATGTGCCACATGTATCATTTCTGCATGTACTCATAGTAAAATGTAGAGTAAAAAATATTTGAATGTCTCCGCTAATATATTACTACCTCTGTCCCTAACTAAAATTCCTATTCACTATTCATGTGGATAAAATAACTCTCTTAATCTTGATTTTTTTATAAATCACATTTTTATCATATTCAAATTCTGATTATGTGACATCATGAAACTTTAAGTGTAAGTATCGAAACAATTTAAATATTGTCAGGGGCGATTTAACTTCATCATAAGTCAATCATCGTAAACAGCTAGTGGAAATTCTTTAAGGGACTGAGGGAGTATGTTTGAGTTACAGAGTATAACAAAAAAGTATACCTAACATTTAAAGTAATGATGACTGATGTCTGAAACAAAATGGGTAATCTATATAACACTCTGTATTGTAATAAAGCATTTCAAGTACAGTATCATTTAGTATTAATACTTCAAAATAGTAATTGTACTCTGCACTTGATAGTGTATTATGTTTTTTAATCTAAAATTAATTAATAGTTACAACACTGACTCTCACATTAAAAAGTTACAATTATTATTCATTTTTTGCGTAAAAAGTGCACTCGCTACACAAAGTATTGATGCCAGACACGCAGACCCCCAATGTACGGGAGCTTCAGCACTGTCTACGCCCTCTTATTTGTTGCATTAAAACTGATGCAGCCATAAATGTCACAATTCTAATGTGGTAATTTATTAACTAGAAAGAACAACTATGCATCAGAAATGCTTACTTAACAATGCAGCCGGAGATGAACCGCCAGGTTCGCTAGTGTTCCCATCTTTGCCTATCTCATCTTTCACCAGTTTAATTAGTTGTGAAGGTAAACTAGAAGCAGAAAAGGCCCTACAATAAGACAATGCCTTCTTATGGTTCCCTTGTTTCCTGCAGCCAGCAGACATTGTGACACTCAGAAAATTCAACTAAACTAAAAGTAGAAATTAAAAAATTGATCAGATAAAACTTTAACAAAAGTGACATTCTCAAATAAATAATTTTGTCAAACAGATAAAAGGTAATAAAAGTGACATTTTTAATAGTAAAACGTGATGATTATACACATCATATATAAGTGACATTTTATGACATTAACAAATTTTATTACATATACTACACCTATGTAGTAATAATAATAATAACAAGAACATGGCCTGCTACGCATGCAATACAGAGACGTATATAACCATTATACATACGTATACACTGATAAAGGATGCCATGCGGGTATTACATACATCCCTCCACAACCTGTGTGAAGTAAACTAATCGGATAAGCTCAAGCTAAGCCTAGAACTTACCTAGCGTTATGCTATTTTTGGTACTTTTGTGTGTCTTTTCCTTTCCTCACGTTCAAACAAGTGACCGCTTTGAAGCATGTATTGATGATTGATTTGTTCTGAGTGTGGCTTAGAGACTCCTTAGTCACACTTAGTCTTGAATAAACTCTTATTTAAAGACAAGATAGTCAAAAGCGCTCGCCCCAGCGCTTAAGTGCACAAGGCGCAGCGAGCATGACCCTCAGCGCCTGGGAATAGGGGAAGCGCACATACCTGGGTCAGGCGCAGCATAAGCGCATGAAGCGCTGAAGCACTAGGAGGCGCCCGCCTGGGTCGCCTGAGCCGGAAAAGGCTGACAGCTTTGTTTTTGGGTTTAAAACTTTAAAAAACAATTAGCCCATATCTTTAAAAACATTCAGCCCATGAAAATAATAGGGTAAAACCAGTACAAACCAGTAAAACCTACGAAAAACTAAGAGCCTAAGTACGTAAAAATGTACAACTTGCGCAAGTCTCATCCTAGTCACCACCCAGTGCGTTTATTACATTCAGACTAGGTGCTTGGTTGTAGTCTTTTTTGAATAATCACGCACAAAAAATATGACTTCCTGATACAAATTTGACTATATCAAATATCCCATAAAAATTGTGATACAAAATATATTTGATGGTCTTTGTGCACTAGATTCTTATAAATTTAAATTAAACTTGAGGATTTGTTTACTCTCTAGTGACTATTTTTGAATGAATGGAGTAAGTTTTATAATTCTTAACAATTTTGAATCAATTATTAAATGGAATTAGAAGTATTGTTCCTACATGGGATTCAATTTTGCATGTTTATATACTGACATCTCCCATATGTTTTGCCCTGTTGGGTCATTCTTCCACCAAAAATAATACATAATTTGAATTTGGAGTTTAATATTTGTGAATCATGACTTTATTTTGGTGAATCCTAGCTTTTTATGCATTTGACTCAATATGATGCTACATACATCATATATGGTAATTACAGAATACTATATGTGATATTATCTAAGTAATGCACTTCACCCGAGTCAGGCGAGCGCTTTAATTGTGCCTTGCGCCTCAGGCACCAGAAGCCCCTAGCGCTTCAAGTGCGCCTTTCGACTTTGACTGCCTTGTTTAAAGCCTTACAGGTATGAACTCTTAAATTTTTTTTATCATTTGTATTGAGGTTTGCATGCGCATTCGGCTATGGTTTAGTCAGATATGGCGGTAACACCCTTTTCATTTGTGATCTTCCATGGTGTTACTTCAAATTACAATATGAATGAACAAAGTTTTATTAAGTTATATCACTGTTTTGTGAGGGGTATTTTGGAGTGTTACAAACATAATAATAAAATTCAGAAAACTGCATCCTAGTTTCGGAGGCAGAGGGAGAGGTGTAAAATTGAAAATTCATACCTATACACCTTTATAGCTTCACAAGTGACCAGCAACCTTGTCATGGTAATACTTCTAACATACGCTAATGGAAGCTTTGTCACTTGTTCAGGATTAAGGAAAGAATAATCCACTAAAACCACAGCATCATACAGAAGTTCCCTAAGCAACACCTCATCCTCAAGGCTCTGGTTGACACAATAATATATAGAGTTAGAGATTAGAAGTCTTCAATATTAAGACTTGCAATTTTATACTAAAAGTTCGACCCAATAAGAGAAATTTATGAGTTGACATATTTATCATTAGAGATTTAGATGACTTGACAAGCAAGTAGCAAGATGCTTCCTCAGTGCAGTTGATCAATCTTAAAACCCGTGTACTTTTTTTAGCGTTAGCCGGATATATTATTAATTTGAGTTTAGTCAAGCTATGCAAAGTTCTAATTCTCAATAGTGGATAGATGATTAGATGCTATGAGTGATGAGCTTAAGTACATGACATACAACGACGTATGGTAACTTGTAATGTTGCATGAAGGTGTGAAACTCGTTGGGCGTAAAGATCAACCTACTAGAAGGACCTATTACGCCCAGCCTTATACTTGAGTTTATATTTTTACATTTAGCCCGTGTAAAATGACTTAACATTCCGATCATCAATCTAATAAAGAAAATGGAGTTCATGGTTAATATTATTAAATATTTAGAAGCTGATTATCTTCACAACTACTTAATTGTAATATTTGTAGGTAAATTAGGATATAGCAAACAAAGCAGAATTTCTGAAGTTAACATTTTGCGTAGGAAATCCATCTTTTTAGGAGAGATAGAAAACTTGGGAAATAGTTAGAGACAATATCTGACCAGTAGAGAGGATGTCGGTAAAGATGGCTCAAGCAGCATTAGTAGGAGGGCCCCTGATCATATGAAAAACTTTAAAGTTCATCTTCAAAACCATGGAAATCTGATGAACATTCTGCTAAACGGAAAGAAGGTCAAATTTTCATAGGATAAAAATGAACACTGACCATGAAAGAAGGGGTTCCGAAGAGCACTTATTGAACATGCAATCCATGAGCTCAACTCACTTTTCAAATCCTTTCTTGAACTACATTCAAGAAAGTAACAGCACAGTTTCAACAAAAACGCTTCTGCAGTAACCAGACCAGCCAGCTCACTCAATTGTAACTCTCCGGCACTAATCTTTTCAACAGAATAATCGCTCAGGAGTGGAAAAAACTCTCTTAGAGAAGCATTTTTACTATCTCCAATCCAACCATCAACTAAATCCCCTACTGGCCTAATTAGGCCTTCCATAGCATCGAAGTTACCACACAGCCCATCAGAACATATATTAATGTATCCAAGAAGTGAACCAGCAAAATCCTTAACCTTTTCTAGGAGGGCTTTCTTCTTCTTAGAACTCATCTCAAGACATTCAAAACAAATTATAAACCGATAAAACTCATACACAACAGGCGCAATCAACACAACGCTTTTCCATGAATTGAATGAAGCTGAACGAGCAACAATGAGCTGAAACAAATCTTTTATGGATGCAAACTGCCTCGAAGGCCGGTCGCTTTTCGCCGAACAAGAGCTCTGGAAGTCTAAAGCAGAAGAGAACCAGACCGTTTCTAGAGGTGGGTTGGGTTTACGTCGCAGCAATTCTTGAAAGTTTGAGCACAAAGATTGATTCTTTGGGAAATCGGGATCGCGGGAGGAATCCAAAAGCTCGTGGATTGAGTTGTTCAGTGCAGTTTGATAATTTTCTCCGATAAAGCAATCGTATTTCTCTGATTCAATCAGCGTTGAAGCCATGGCTGCCAGAGACAGGATTCGGGTCGAGGGTGAAATGATAACCCTGGAGAGTTCACAAAGATTTAGGTAGGGTTTAGAAGAGGCAGCTCAACGAGTCAACGGTGCCTCTCCAGTCAATTGTGACATTTCGGTATTTTTTTAAGCTAACAAATAAAATGGATTTGATATACGCCTTTTTTGTACTCCCTCCCAATTTGTTTTGCAAAATTTCTTTATTTGTTTGTCTCAAAATGGTTTTCCACTTTCTATTTTAGGTATGTAAATAAATGTAAAGTGACAAATTTATCCTTATTTTTACTTTTTTTTCCATCAACATGAAGACATCTACTTTTAAGATGAAGAACAAAAGTGTAAAAAGCAAGCATCATTTGTTGTCATTTCTTAATCTTTGTACTGGTCAAGGTTTGCAATTCAATTCGGGGTGGAGGGAGTATATATCTTTGGCATACTTGTCTTTTTATGCAAACATAGTTATTGGTATATATTATATAAACAATTATGTTTATGTAGACAGACAAGTGTATTAAAAGTGTATACAAGAACAACTACATCAAACATTTTTCAATAGAATTTGAATTAGAGGTCAAATAGAGTTTTCAAACGCCATATTTTAAAGATTAGATTCTAATTTATCGTATTACAGTACTACCTCATGCGTTCCCCAGATTGGGACAAAAGGGCGTTGCGGTTTAAAAAAAAGGTAAAGTCATATGATTAATAATGAATTATATGGGTTCATGTGGTTGATATTAATTGATAAAGTAAAAATAAGGTAAGAATGATTCAGAGTCATACTTAATTAAACATTAACCACATCGAACTCTTTTTACCAGGTTTCGAGGAAGCACCTTAAAATTTTGGTCGGTAAATGGTTCTAATGCGGGACCCACATACACATCGATCAAGAGGACCAATCGGAATACGCGAAACACGCACGAAAAACTAAAGAGGTAGAACCAGTGAAACGACGTCACATCGCAATTTTTTACAGTACTAGGCTAGATGCTTCATGCTAAAATGAGATGAAATTGAAGATTGCGACAGAAACAGAGTTTTTTTGTTTTACGGCAGAAAAAATGTTTGAATTTCAGAAATTTGTAGTGTTAGGAATCTTAACCTTTTTAGTCTCGTCTTCATCATGGCTACCGATTTCAGAGGGAGCAAAGAAGCCAGTGGGCGTGGCAAGAAAAGAAGACATCCCATATATTAAATGTCAGGTCTGTGAGAAGCTGGCAAGTCAGCTATACCACCAAGTTCTCAGCAAACAATCCGAGATCTCACCTAATAAGGTAACGAGGGCTAAGTGGGGTTTTGTGCATTTTATTGCAATTTTCCAGATTTCTGGATGTTCAGTAGTTCATATTGTGTTGTATAATTAGTTGTGTTTATTGATATGATATCTGCTTTCTAAAGAACCATTCTTAATCAGATAGTTGAGATTGGGTTGAGACTAAATAGTCTTCTTGGGTTGTGTTGAGCAAAATCTGATGAATTCAATGAGATTGTTTTAGTTTATTTAACACAGCTATGCATAAATAATTTGGAATTGGTTCTTTCAGTATCCATAATCACAGTATATTATCATAGCTAACAAACATGGGCAATTGGGTAATGTGCAGTTAAATTTATGAATGTGGGTTTGTTTAGTAATTTAGATTTAATGTATGATATAATCAGTGTATGTTATTTTTGGTAAATGATGTTATGCAGATTTCAGAGTATCAGATAATAGAGCTTTCAGAGAATGTCTGCAATCTGAAGAAGCAGGAAGCTGATTGGATTCTCAAAATTGATATTGTAGAACAGGGAGATAGGTTAGAGGTAAAACTAATGCTCATTTTTGTAAACATGTCGTTTTCTTATAATATGAGTGTGTGAAAGTGTAGTTCTTCTGGAATTTGGTCATACCTATCGTGTTCTCTGTTCATTAAAAAAAAGTTCAGATTTAATGCAATATTTCCAACATTTCCTTAAAACCAAGAATTGGTTTATCAATAGCGAGAATGCATTGTGATAATAAATATCATAATCGGATATATATTACTAGTTAATTATTTAAGAAGATCTTTATTTTAATTTTGTCTTTTACTCAGCTTGTTGAACAAGATGCAGAAGGACAATGTAATTCAGAGTGCAAAACTATTGAACATGCATGTCAAGAGGTAACATAGTTTCCCTCAGCTTATAGTTTTTTAATGTTTTGTCCTTGACTCCCTGTGGATTTATGGTCATCCTAGTAGGTATAGGCCTTTCCTTTTTCTATTAAAAGTTTAGATGAATCTGTTGGAAAAAACAAGTTATTCAGAGTACATAAGTGGAATACACCATACACCTTAGGACTGTCTTATTTTCATCCACCTTCTTCAGTCAACTGTAATAGAAGTATTCTTTTTGCAAATTTTTAAATGCGGTTCTCAGTATCAATAATCAAATGAAGAAATTTATAACCCAACAAAACCCTTAACTGTGAAGAAATGTATTCAGAAAATGTGATTTTAGTGAATGAGCTTTTGATCATGGCTGTGCTTTCGAAATTCACTTTTACCAAACACATTTTATTAAAATCACATTTTAAATTTGTTTCTTTCAAATAAAAGAGCTTTTTGTAGTAGGCATCCAATCTTGATTTTTGAGCTTAAACTTATGCAAAGACTAAAGAGCAGAGTTATAAATTTGACCATCTTCTCTTGGAAATTACGTAGTATAATAAACAAATAATACACATGGTGTTGGATTTTTTTTCAGGTTATGGGCTTCTCTGACACCGACGTTGCAGAATATATATACACACACAAACCCAATCTTGATTCTCTGGTTAATTTCCTCTGCAAGGACTTGACCAAAGCATGTCGTAAGAAGCCACCTCCAATCCCCAAGGTATTTCATGGTTTTGCTGAAACACAGAATAGTACTCCGTAATTTAATTGTCATAGTTTTGTAGTTTCCTAATCCTTTTCTATCTTCCTATTCCTGCCGGTTTTAGGTCCTGTATATATCTAAATAAGCATTGTAATTGCCTCTAGAGGTTATAAAGTTGTTAGTTTGAAGTGATATTAATAAAACTAGTTGCTTTTCATTTCATTATAGCCGCCACTAATATACTTTTTTCATTTCTTTCTAACCACTGCATACATTCTTAGTTTTACTTTTGGTAAACTCTCCTCTTCTTGCATACAGGATAGAACTCCAGGGGAACCATTTGTTCCAAAATCATCAAAAGAAGCAGAAATGGAAAAGCTGTTGAGATCCATGCAGGTAATTGTGCTGCCTAAATTCTGTTTGGTTGCAGGGATATAAGTTGTTTCGGGAAAAAAATAGGGATCTTTTCCCCTAGAATGTAAGCTGTTTTATGTATAATATACAGTACTCTTGAATTGTTAACCCACAAAATAGGAAAAACAGAACTACTTCAGAAAAATGTCTTCATTATTTTTCAAAAGAAAGTGATTTTCTATAATATTTAAAGATTCGAGAAAAATATTTTCTATGCACACAGGAGAGTCTGAAATATTTTGGTGAAAACAATTGGACTCCCAACTTGTTTTGTTCTCCACTGATGCTCTATATCAATGTCTTGCTATCTTGTTACTGTTATTTCAGGGCATGCCAGGAGCGCCTAGAATGAAAATGTATTCAAGGGAAGATCTGATGAACCAAAACATAGGTGATGAAGATGCAGACGAAGACGATGATGACGAGGATGACTTCCCAAAGAACTTAGTAACCACAAATCTCTATTTTGAACAAAATAAAAGTTTTTTAGAATGAGCAGAAAAACTGAAAATTTTGTATACTCATTGCAGGGTAAAGCTCTTAATAAAGGAAAAGAAACAAAGAAGATAGATTGGAAGGAGAATGTCATCAAAAGATTTCAAGAAGCAAGCAAAACCGTGAAGAGACATGCAAACACAGTCTCTTACAGGTTAAGGAAGTGGTGGAAATCAAAGAAGGAAGAACTACAGAAGAGGTCGAAGTCCAGCGAGACTGAGCTGTAGTAGAGTGACTAGAGTTTGGCCATCAATGATGTGAGATGGAGATAAAAATGAACTGCAGGTGTAATTATTTCTATATTTTATGTTTTCTGCTCAACATAAAATATAGTCGGAGCATTTTTTTGAACCTTTATCCGGACAACTATGCACATTTCAATGTTTTTCCTTCTATCAAATCACTTCATTGTTCAGACAATGGAATTCATTGTTGTGGTAAGAGCAAATGAATCTTTGTAAATGTCTAAAATCAAAATAGAAGCGGAAGTACGACCTATGAAGCAATGATTTAAAACAAAATTGACAATATTGATCTATTTCGAAAGAAATGTGACTTGAACTAGCTACCAGCTTTTCCGTTTTTGTTTGGTACATGAGTTCTTTTGAAAACACTCATGCTTGTTTTAAAGTGGGTTTTCTGCCGAAATTACTAAAATAATACGGAGTATTCATTTACAAAGCACGACAACTTTTAAAAAAAATCCAAAAATTGATTATACGTGTGACATTGAGTGCCATTGCAACTGAGAGTCTGGAATTATTGACGCTGCTGCCAATGACACACACAATGTCACCATAGTGACATCCATAGCTGTAAATATCAGGTGACTTTTGGTCACTTTGGGGGGATTTTCTGGGTTTTCTGGTAATTTCATCATATTTTTATCGATCATAACCCATTAAGTAAATGTCTCTTTCTTTCTTTTCCTTACCAGTATTTGGATATAGGGGTAGGTTCTTAAAATATATGACAAGCTTTTCATACCAGGTATTGATAACCAAACTGAACTGGACAATGTACTCATAAAACACTTGTAAGGTTTTCAGGTATTACAAATCATATTTAAATGGTCATTTAGCGCATAGTTGGGGGTAGTAATAGTGTGAAGCGAACTAGTTCAATAACAAGTTAAATCGCCTGAGGAATGGGATTGAAGATGGCAATTTTTGATGGAGTTTGAAGATGGTGTGAATACTAGTGATGTTTTTCATCTAAATGAGTTAGGATTCAGATTTACTCAAGAGACTACCTACCATCTACCACCCACATTTAGACGGAATATACGTCATAAAATTGATGTTCGAATTTCATCTAAACATTTTTTTGGAGTAACTCCGGTCACTCCCGTGGATCCATATTCAATGAGCTAACATAAATATTTCAATTACCGTGAACTTAAGGTGATAGAAAGGGTGCCACAAGGCGTTACGAGTCTGTTGCCCTCCCCGAGCATGTTCAGTAAAATTCTTCATTTTTAGATATTCAGGTTTTATGTAAAAATTTATATGAATGACTTTATTTTATCCGACATGCCCCATTTGTTTTCTTGATATGCCATTGTTAAGACTTAAGAGAATGTATAATGTAGTACAGAGAGGCCTCTTGGTGGAGACCGAAACCACATTGAGTAAAGCAACCGAACGAAACCAGCTAGTGCAAATGGCGACCATACCGAAACCCAAGAAGCGGAAAAACCAATGCCGTGGATCTTTCCTTTGCGGTACTTGTTTGCTATCGGACTTTCTCCTATATTTAGCCTTGGACGTAATTCAACACCCAATTTGGGCTGCATTCCCAAACAAGCTGCTTTGCCTATTGTTCCAACTCTGCAAAACCCAAGTACCATTGTATAGTTGCCCAAGAATATGGTGTTTGTATGTTTGGATCACTACTTGAAAATTGAAATGAGGGAAGGGGGGAAAGAAGGAAGTAAACTGTCATTGTTTTGTTTATGGTGCGCTTGGGGTAGTTCTAGCACCCTTAAGGTTGTAAAGTAACAAAATAAATTAATACTAGTCCAATTTTGGAAGAAAAAAATGTATAATCAGGCGGTTCCAAATTCGAGTAGTAACCTATTTAAATTTAATGGTACCCAAAATATAATCAGAATTAGTTATTCCTATAGTGTAGGAACTGGATCGGACCATTATTAACATTGATTTTGAACCGGTCAATCTGTTAGATTTTCAATAAAAATTTGGTACGGTTGGTCTGATTCTTACTAATGATGAGAAGATCTTACTATTGCTTGAAAAGTAGTGGATCTATGACTCTAAGACTCTAAGTTAGATTTATCTTATGTTGTCTTGGAAGCGTATACCATACAGCCGGCTGTACGGCAGGCACCGTACAGCCGGTGGCAGTTTTGTAATTTTCATGAAGTTCGCGGTTTCTCGTAAATGAGCATTGATGTAATTTTGATGAGCATCGAGCCTGTTCTTCTGAGTATTAAAAGCCTAACAATGAGCACCAGTGATCTCTGTTTCATATTTTCTAATTCGGTTTCTTTTTATGATTTTTTTCATTTATAAAAATTAAAAATCTTAAATTATGTTTATAATTAATTTCAATATGTGAATCTAATGTAGTATGATATGTTTGATATGTGCATCATTTTAAAATGAGCATAAAACAGTACCAAATGAGCATACATAATTTATAAAATGAGTATAAAAAAAATTCAAAACTTTATTTGTGTATGCTCATTGATTTTGGGCGTATATTTGATATGTGCATCATTTTAAAATGAGCATAAAACAATACCAAATGAGCATACATAATTTACAAATTGAGTATCAAAATATTAAAAACTCATTTTTGTGTGTTCATTCATTTTGGGCATAATACTCATTTGAATTTAACTTAAAACTCATTTTGAAATATGCATGAATATGACATTTTAAAAAGAGTATTGTACTAATATCAAATGTGTATACATAAATTACGAAATGAGCGTTCAAAAAACTCATTTGAGTATGCTCATTCATTTTGGGTGTTATACTCATTTCAATTCTACATGAAACTCATTTTCAATGTGTTCAATATTAGTTTGTGTGGGTTCATTTCTTTTAGGCGTATACTCATTTTTTTTAGACTCATTTAAAATCACCACCATGCTCAAACTTTTATTTGCGTATGCTCATATCTTTAGAATTACGTACAACCTAGGTTATCCTTGACCCAAAAACCACCAAACTAAAATAATCAGTGTGAGAAAAATAGAAAAAGGAAAAGAAAGGAACAGAACGTGCGAAGTTAAGGACGAAGCTGAAGGAGAGCTGCTGAAGGGTTGCGGTTGTCGAAAAAGGGAGAGATGCTAGTAGGCGGCGAGCAACGGAGCAAGGATGATCGGCCATGGAAGCCTGCGATGGAAGCCCTGCGATGACGGAAGCCTGCGATGGAAGCCCTGCGATGACGGAAGTCTGCGATGGAAGCCTGCAATTCGCGAACTAAAAGTCCGGCTGTACCGTGCGCACGGTACAGCCGGCTGTACCATATAATTTGCGATGTTGTCTTGGTTGCTGTTGATTTCTTTAGGTTGACCAAACCAAACAATTTTAAAAGTGTTCTGGTTTGAATGTTTGATAGATTGAACAACAGGTTTTCCTTTAAAAGTGACTATATCACTATACGTATGTAAAAATGTAATTAATAAAATTAGAAAATCAAAACCGGTCATGGAAAGTTTATCCTATATTTCTATGATAATCTTGCTCATTTCCAATGCAATACTTTGAGCCCATGATCTCGTTTAGTCATGGACCCGGGCCGGGCCGGTTCCGGGCCGGGCCCGGCCGGGCTTTTTTTTTGGGAAGGAAGGCCCGGGACCGGCCCGGGTAGCCACCGGGTCCGGGCCGGGCCGGGCCTCCAGTTCGGTCATAATTTTTTTTTTTTTTTTTGCTTTCCTAACCCCCCCACCCCCCCCCCAAACCCCCAAACCCCTCCTAACCATCGAGCCCAACCCAACTAACCCCAAAAAAAAAAAAAAAAAAATCAATTCGGCCCGGGCCCGGGCCCGACCCGGCCGGGCCGGTTCGCCAAATACAAGGCCCGAGCCCGGACCCGCCCCCCCCCCCCCCCACCGGGCCTAGGCCCGACCCGGACCCGAGAACCGGGCCGGTTCCAAGCCCGCACAGTGGCGGGCCGGGCCGGTCCCGGGCCGGGCGGCCCGAACCGGGTCCATGCCTAATCTCGTTCATAACCGACCTCATCAATCAATATAACTTAAGGACCCAAAGTACCAATCATTCAGTGAAGGCGTGAAGCAATGCTTTGACTCTTTGAGAGTTTGAGGCTTTAATGATTTTCTATTACTATACAAAGTATATGACAAAATTATTGTGTATAAAATATTACGGATTATTAAATTTCTATAAATATGAATTTCCAAAATATTACTTTTTATATAAAAAAAAATTAATACTAAATTAAATATCATTACAATCAAAGTTGCGCATAACATATGAATCATATGTGAAATTCCCGAAGGATTTGAAGCTATTCATTGTATATTGTTTCAACAACAAGGGCAACCATGAATCTAATATTCACCATTTTGTGAAGGGGAAATGGAAACTAATAATCCAACCTTTTAGCGGTCTTCTTACAATAATCCAACCTTTTGGTTATTCATTAATAATCCAACATTTGCACCTCATCTTCATTCACTGGTCCCTGACCGGTTGATGACCTGCTATTCCAAGCTATTTTCTTATCTTTGCAAATCATTATACCATAAATCTCATCTTTCACAAAGATAATATTTTGCAAAGATAAAAAAATAACTTGGAATAGTAGGTCATTAACCGACCAGGGACCAATGAATGAAGATGAGGTGCAAAGGTTGAATTATTCATGAATAATCAAAAGGTGGGATTATTGAAAGAAGACCGCTAAAAGGTTGGATTATTAGTTTCCATTTTCCCTTTTGTGAAAAGATTGAATACCTGGCGAACTACTTTTTATTTAATAAATCAAGAGCAGATGAATACGGACACAAGGGATAATAGCTAGGGTCATAGCTAGGATAATCCTGTGCAGAAAGTCAGAAACAATATTCCTTCAAGGTTCATATAATTAGTACTAACCAAACTAGCAATCTTTCATCGTCAGGAAATTCTAAAAAAGAAACAAAAGCTACAACTAGCAGCCTTCATAGTCTCCCTGAGAGAACTTGTTCTCGGGATAGAACACAGCAACCACTTGATTTCCACCGAATTTTCTTCCATTCAACCCTTGCTGGGCTTTGCTAGAACCCTCCACATCAGCGTACTCAAGAAACACCTGCAGAAGTGTTGTAGCAAACAATTAACCATTTTTGTGTTAGTCGTTTGTATGTTTTTTTTGGGAGGGGTTGATAATGACCAATGTAAATTATGTTCAACCCTGACCTTTCCAACTCCAGGTGTAGGCTCACCATCAGGGCATGGGCGAGGGATTACTAGATTCACCAAGGTACCTACACAACCGTGAAAGAAGAAAGTAAATAATAAAACTTACAGCTCACAAAGTTCTGTTAGTCACAAAAAAAATCCTGGTCATTATTATATTAATAATTACGATAGATAATGAAATCTTATTGGCATAATATTAATAGTAACAACAATATTACTACCAAATTTCCCACATTCCATCCTCATATCTTCCAATATATCCTCATAGTCTTCATCATTCTTTAGCTCATCCGCATTAACCACATTTGTTAGGCATAGCACCTTTGTGGGTAACCCACCAGGTTGTAACATGAGTCTCTGCAGGAAAAAAAACATTTGGTCAGACCGTCAGCATGTAGACCCTTTGTGAAGTGTCAATTTGGAACCCAAAATTACCAAGGAAAAAAAATTGAAAAGGAAATAGGGAAATTGAAGGACAGAATCCAATAAATAATTTTTTTTAGATCTGTTCAGAATCTTTATGTATTATATCTTTATGTATTATATATATGTGTATGTATATATACATACACATATACATACACATGTACATATATTTCTACAACATAAAGAGTGGGAAACCCAAAGTAGTCAAAAGCGAGCGCCTAGGCGCTTAAGCGCACCAGGTGCAGCGCAAATGAGGTTTAGCGAATGAAGAATGGCCAGGCGCAGCTCCCTGTCTAAAGTGCAGTTCAGGCACAGAAGCGCCGAAGCTGAGAAAAGCGCATGCTTAAGCCGCCTGGGCTGGGAAACGCTTATCAGCCTATTTTTTTTTTGTTTGATCCTACTTTAAATAACAAGCCCATACTGATAATAGGTGGAAAAAAAACTTAAACCCATATTAAACCCTTCTTAGTCGTGGGGAAAGTCTTCTATCTTGAGACTTGACTTCATCGTGAGTCATGACTCTTCTGCACTGCTATGTGCTCTACTTGCGCAACATGCTCAGCACTGGAACACATTCAACGAACCCACAGAAGCCAGAAGCCCATAAGGTGTCTTCTTCATCATCATATTCCCATGTTCTTTCTTCTTTATTTTTCAGCTTGTAGTTTTCATTTATTATGTCATCATCTTGGTGATCCTTTCATTTTATTCTTTCAGTCTATCTTCTTTCACTGCTTTTATCAGTTCCAGTCATCTATGCATACTTTATATAGTTCTTTTTGCTTCGAATATATTCTATACAACTCAAACATATTATATGCACTTGACTACCAGTTTACATTATATGTACTCTAAATTATTTTATCTTATTATACAGTATAATTCTAGTGCTGAAATTTAAAAATCAACAAAGACAGACCCCACTTGTTTTTTCTTTGTGAACAATGACATTATTTTGGTTAATCGTGGCTTTATTTTTTGGAAACACGACTTTTTGATGCATTTAGTTCAATATGATGTTGAAATATAACGTATTTGATCACTCTAGAAGAGTATACATAATATTTTCTAAATAGTGCACTTGAAACGAGTCAGGCGAGCGCTTTTTTGCGCCTTGTGCCTCAGGCGATACAAGTACTCTAGCGCCTTAAGTGCGCCTTGCGACTTTGACTACCTTGGGGAAACCTCAATCTAATAATTTTTCTAAAAACAATTATTCTTTTCATTTTCCTGCTAGGGTCATAAGTCAGGAATGAAATGTGATAGCATTTTGTTTCTTTTTCCTTGAAGTCTAGAATGAGCACAGTACACTGCAGCCATTGGCATGTAACATATTACTCTCCACCACCACACCGCCGCCAACGCCGCACAAAAAACCCCGTGTTACAAAAACTTTGATCACACAAAAAAAGAGTCCAGTTATAAATGAACCATTTTCCTAAAATTACATGCTACCGTAATAAAATACAGAACCATGCAGCAAACAGGTTTTTTAACTACCCCAAACAAGTGGACAGTCATAATATATACTCGCTTGTCCCTGGACTGATTTAGTTAAAAATAAACAGTTGCACCTTACTCAAACAGGACTATGTTATCAGCATGGAGTACTTCTTTAACAGGAATAGGAGTAGAAATGTCATGGGGGGGATGATCAAAAAGAAAATCTACCTGTAGCGCTATTTGCTGTTGTGCATGTAACAGTATGCTCTCCTGTTCTGGTTTAGGTTGTAATGAACCCTGACTGGCACGTCTAACAGTAAGAGTCTTATCGCCCATCTTAATCCCATTAAGAGCTGCACAAGCAATATCAGTAACAGAAACATCTTGGTACACACAGAAAGCATAGCCTTTTGAATTTCCTGTTTCCCTATCTTTCACAAGATTAAACCCTCTAAGTGGTCCAAAAGACTCGAGAAGCTCTCGAATCTGAGCTTCAGTGAAATAGTATGGAAGGCCTCCGACAAAGACACGGTCAGGGCCCTCAAGCCCAGCAGATGACCCTGGAGCTAACCCAACAGCTGCAAGATTCAGGTCAAGGTTTGGTTGGCTTGGACCAAGTGCAGCAGCCAGAGATGGATTGTAATCGGTAGGTCTTCTGACCTTAACTTGAGTTCCCTACAGAAAAAAAGGGATGCAAAAGGTCAAGTCTGACCTTAACTTGAGTTCCCTACTTAATCTAAAGAGTTAATACCCGATTTAGTCCTGTGCCTACACACAGTTACTTAATTTGGACCTCAATTTTCTTTAACATCCTTCACAGTTTGGTCTTCCACAATGCAATTAAGGCTCAATTTGGTCCTCATCCATACCTTGGTCTAATCAAGAAGAATATTTTGTACACCGGTGACCAAATTGCATCGAAAGTAAACCAAATTGAGACATGATTTAGTATACTGATAAAGATAGCCTTCCTATTAAGAACCAATCTGTGAGGACTATATTTGGTCCAAAATTTAATGTTTAGGACCAAATTGAGTTGGATACAAAATGAGGACTAGATTGGGTTTTAACTCATCATATAAAGTTGATCCTGTTAAACAAAAAGTTCAGCAGTACCTCAAGGATAATGCCATCCAGTGCCATGGCATTGCTGGCCTCTTCAACTGATCTCATCTCTACAAACGCGAATTTTTTCTCATGATTTATGTAAACATTGACCACTGCGTCACCTGGAAATCAAGTAGCTAAACACTCAATTTATAGTTGTTGGAAAAAGCTATAGAAGAAAAAACACAATATTTACCGACCTGGACCGGCTGTGTTTCCACCAATTGCAGCCATTACGTGATTAAAGAATATTGCCACAGACTGCACGGTATGCCAGAAAAGATTACTCAAAACCACATTAGAAAAGGTGGAACTGGTTCATCGCAATGGATGGGCAACCTAACAAAAAAATAATTACCAATACCAAGCAACTAACCTGTTCATTAGCACTTGGAGGAAGTCCACCAACATACACTCGACGTGCATGTCTCGTAGCCTAAAAACAAATTTAGCGAATTTGGTCAATCTACCAAAATGAGTATTGGGTAATACAACTATTCAAGCCCACTAAACATATTGTCCACCTACATGGCAAGACCTCAACCACGACGATTTTGCTTTAATATAACATGAGAATAAAAGCATAATTTAGTAGTAGACATATAATGCTCACAAGAAAGCCACAACAAAAGAAGGATAAATAACCTGCTGAGTCATAGCCTGAATTGGCATAACAGGGAGAGCTCCCAACTGCCATAAAAATAAAAATAAAAATAAAAATTCAAAAACTGCCTTATACATATGACTATGTGCATAAGCAAGTTGCTGAATACCTGTCCTGGTGCAAAAGTTAGCATGTTTGGAAATATTCCTGGAATGGTTGGTGTAATCGCAGGAACTTGACCTGTCAGGACATCACACGGGTATAAAAATGAGAACACCCAACAAATTCATTGGTGATAATGACTGTCTCACATATTAGCATTAATTCCACTTTCCAATTCAAAGTTGTAGAGTTTTTTGTTAGAATCAGAATGTGATTCTGTAAACTTATTTTCTAGCAAATATTTTAAAAATATGCAAAAAGATGTATGCATTGGAATAAATTGAAATGCTACCAAACAAGCAATTTCTGGTTGAAGATGACGAGACCTTTATTGCCTTCCTTGTACAAATATCCTACAGAGATCGGCTCACGCCCAGTGTCAACAGAGTGGGGCAACTAGCCCAATATTGCCTTCTTAGAACTTAAGATATTGACATACAAAAAAGATAACAACACCAAAGACAACAACAAAGCAAAAACCCTCTCAGTTCCAGAATTATTTCACCAAGTAAACACTAAACAATTAAAGTGAAAATTGACAAAAGATCTCTGGATAAGGACTCAGTTTTTGTGCCATCTTACTGGCCAAGGGATATTGCAAAAATCAAATCATGCATTTCGATTAGGATTTTCTAGACAGCATCTAATGATGAGAAAAAATAGCACTTACTAATATATGCACTGGTTATACAAATATGAACTGAATACCTGGAAGACCCAAAGCCCCAGGTAGCTGAGCAGGATCAGTAGGTGCCATGTCAAATCCACTTTTCCTCTCTCTGTGATTAAACATTGTTAGTACCACTCTAACATTCAGAACATGAGATAGAAAAGGCATCATGGCAGTTTAAGGAGTAAATTTAATTTACTATTTGTCCACTGGACAACAACTGCTTTGCGTAAAGTGCCCTGCCACTTATTGTTCTTGTAAATATTAGTTTTATTGATATTAATTAATTATTCAAGGCTGTATACAACCAAATGTTTCTTCTTCTTTTTTTGCGAGGAACCAAATGTTTCTTAACTAACAACTATACACAACTAACCTTTTAGAAACAGATCGGGAACGAGATCGAATAGGAGATGGAGACTTTGATTTTGACTTGTGCCTAGATCCTCCCCTAGAGTGGGACCTACGCTTGTGCCTTTCTTCTACATCTCTGTCACGGGACTTGGACCTATGTCTATGTCTTTCCACTCTATCCCTGTCATGGGACTTCGACCTGTGTGATCGTCTTTCCTCTCTTTCTCTGTCATAGGATCTAGATCTGTGTCTGTGTCTTTCATCCCTATCTCTGCGCCTGTATGCAGAATAAGACACAATAAGCATTAGATGCAAAAAGTTTGTCCAAAAACACTACAAGTATAGAATAGTTAAGATATTATTCATCACGACAAATGTTTTTAGCAAAGTTCCACTTCCACTGCGGGTAAAAGAAAACTGGCCAGAGGTCAATATAACTCTCTACAGATATGGCAAGCACCCATTAGCTTGTTGACAAGTGGAAGAACCCAACTGAAGTATTCATGCACAAAAGTCATTAATCTTGTATTCAAATGAGTGAAGTTCGGAAGCAAAAAACTGTAACTTGAGTTCCAGCGAGTTAAGAGATTACACAAATCGCAATAGAACACCTCGTAGAATAAATTTTGATTCCTTAACTAACCAACCCAACCTTTTTTAAGTACAAGGTGTGTTTGATCCTTCAAATCGAGACCAAAGAAAAGATGAATACTACAATCCCAGTGAAAAAATGACACCAATATCAACAATAAAACATGACCCCCGCGCCTCAGAAAAATAAAACTAAGGAAAGTAAAAGAGCATACCTATCATGGTCTCGACTCTTGTAATAGTCATCATTATCAACTTCAGCATCACTCTCTCGAGTTCTCCTTCTCTCGCTTCTATCTCTACGGTGACGGTCATGATCCTTGTCTCTGTCTCTATCCCTATCTCTATCCTTATCACGTCCTCTCTCCCTTTCCTTATCCTTGCTTCTTGAGGACTCCTTTTCGTGCTCATAATCACGAGAGCTATGCTGCAATATACAAAACAACTCAACTTTAGGCATATAAGAAAGACAAATTTTGAAGTAGGAGCAAACACACCACATAATCTCTATAAACACAACTACCGCATAATTTATTACTAACTGCTGGTAACACTGTGACACAATGTGAAGAGCAGGTATAAGACACACTCATTAGTAGAGAATATACACAGTAGTGAAAGTCTTACAAACAAAAATGACATGTTTGTAAATAATAAAACAATTTTATTTATGTAAGCATGTGAAAACATACCTACAGAGCCAAAATTAAACCCACATTCATCGGACACACCAAGAACTACTACTCAGTAGTCAGTACTCACAACCGTAAAATATGTAAAACCCCAGCACAGTAGAGTGAATTCAATCAAGTAACTCCTTCCTAGATACTTAGATAGTGATTGGCCAAAAATATATGGATTTGTCCTGACAATATTCAAAAGCTCCTCTAAAGGGACACGCTTTGAAAGCTCAAAATCACTATGTTGCACAGAAATGTGAAATGAAAAACGTTACACTGAGAAATGTCAGATTTAAACAGGAATAGTTGTTAAAGGTTGAAATGTTTCTGATATATCAACAAAAGTGTTTCTGATATGTTTGCAAAATGAGAAAGCATTACATCATTTGGAGTGGTGAGGTATTAGGAGTCCAAAAAGCTAAATGTATAATTTTTAGATTGCTCATTGTGGGTAGTGGAAGTTTAAAAGGGGTGTTAAAAGTGGGAAAGGGGATGGAAGGGGTTAAAATAGAGTGTTGGTTTAGAAGAGTGGGAAAAGAAAAAAGAAAGAAAAAAGAAGAGAAATGATGGACGAAGGTTGCATTTTCTGTGCGGATGATGCCATGCTGATATCATCTTTGCATCATAATATCCCAATTTTTTAAATACTTATATAACTTTTTTATTTTTACTCCAAATTTTTCAAAAAATATATCAAAATCTAAAAAATTTTATGATCTTTCATATGACACCAATATGTAATATATAAAATGAAAAAAAAACTGAAGTTTTAAGTTTTAACTGTTGAAGTTTTCTTGAACCCCAACAAAACATGAAACACAAATTTTTAATTCATGGAGCCATCACAAATAATTGAATATTCCACAATCGACCTTTACTTGAACTAAGTTCATTTTTTGTTAATCGGAAAAGTTCAAAAAATTATTGAAATTTATTTATTTTTACATCGGAATGTGTATTTTTTATTTCATAATTATTCAGGGAAAAAAATAAAAGGAAAAACATTACTTATAATAATTTAATTAATGTTTTACTAAATTGGTATGTAAAAAGATGTGTTGAATGTGTTTTATTGACAGTGTTGGAATGTAGAAAAATGAGAGTCTAAACACTGTTTTCATGTGGACGGAGTACATTTTTAACAATTTAGTCCCTTAACCACTACAAATGGTCTTACGTCTCAAAAATTTTGAGTCATAGGCTCATAGGTCACACATAGTTTTTGAGTTCTTCAAAAACTAAATGAATTAATTAATGGATATAATCTAAATAGAATATTCACTGTAATCTGTAATTAAAAGTTACAGCCAGTGCTCCTACAAAGACATTAATTTCATATAATATTTGATAAAGGAACAAAGATCGAAGGAAAAAATGCACTAGGCATTGGTGCATTGTGAGACATGTGATTGTTCATTTAATATTCATCATTTTTTCAATGTATGAAAGGCCACTTTCTTCTCATTGAGAAGAAAGCATAACAAAATATATCTGTAAAGGTTCTAAGATGTAAATATGAAATGTACCCCATGGTATGAATGTCCACGGGTAGCTCATCCAACTCCATCCCATTATTTACAAATTGAAGGAATGTCCATGGTTACATTCTTACAAAATCTTTTGAGTTTTTGAAAAACTGATGTTCAGCATTGCTTCCACATAACACTCCCGAAATCATTAAGAAACACAGTATCTGAACTTGTTTCCCTAACTTGACGTATTAGCAATCTGAACAAACAGGTAAATAATATTTTCACTTCGGGAAAAAATACTGTACCTTTGAACTTGACCTTCTATTCCTCGAACCATTTTCCCCATCATCAAAGCTCGAAGTGTCATTCTCTCCACCCATCTGAGCAGGTGTAGTTTGGGTCGTCTCACTCTCACTAGGATCCATGGCAGCAATTAGCTAACCTAAGAAAAACAATTAACATATAAATTAAAATTAGTCAAAATCTAAACGCAAACAATTAAAGAATAAAAAATAAATAAATAATGAGAAGTCCATCAATTCACGTGCACTTGCTTAATTATAACAGCCGCAACATAGTTCTCGGCACAAAACGAAGAAAAAAACAGACGCATACACCGCACATTCAAGACATGTATAAAAAAACATATATACGGACTATAAACATAATCAAGCTCTGATTTTGCAGTGAAAAGATGAATGAGAACATGGCGTACAAACTAGGGTTTGGTTGAAAAGCGCGATAGATGTGTGCAGAAAGTACGAGTCTATGAGATGATCCGAATCCGAACTCCAAATTACGGAGTATCGAATTTCAAATTACACATATGGCCCATATGTGTAAAACTTGGACCACTAAACCCATATTCTTTTTTTGAGGGAATCACTAGACCCATATTCTTATAAGGGCTTGTTTGGATGGAGTGTTTGGAAGTGTTAGTAATGGAAGTGTTAGTAAGTGTTAGTAAGGGCTCGGAAGGGAAGGGAAGTGTAAGTGTTAGACATAATTTTGCCTTGTTTGGGAGAGTCAAATGAATGAAGTGTTAATAATGGAAGTGTTAATAATTTTACCTTGAGGCAAAAGAAACGAGTAAAGAGAACAGATGAAAAAACAAACCATCAGACCCGTGGGAAAGACATTCGAAGTAAAATGTCGAAGCATTTTATGTTTTTCGGGTAAATGAGAAGGGTAATAATTGTCCAACACCTCTAAACACTCCAAATCGGGGTGTTAAAAAATGGACAATTGAGGTATTGGGAAGGTTATTATTAACACTTCCTAACCATTACTAACAATTCTTAACACATCTGCATTTTTCTCCCAGACAAGTGTTAGCATCAACACTTGCTAACACTTCCATTACTAACACTCCTCAACACTCAATCCAAACAGGTCATAAGGGAAATTCTATGCACACTCACTCATTTAGGATGTTTTTACTTGGACTGTAATATGTCCCAGATCAAATCAGGCTTGGACTGTTATAAAAATATAAAGAGACCATACCAGATCAGATCAGATCAGCAAATTAAAGTCCAGGTAAAAACATCCCTAGTAACGAGAAATCATGTTTCCATAAAAAAACATTTTTATAATTCCTATAGTCCCCTTACTTACTAAACAGAGTCTGAGTCGAGTGTATTTTGAAACTTCGACAAAACTTTCGGCATCTATATGAATTCTAAAGTTTTCACAGTTAGGAAGAAATATGAAGGTTCTCTCGTATTTCGTCTTCCGGATAGTAAGTTGAAGCCGTACATGATGGACGATTTCATGGATATATTGACGGTCAGCAAGTCCTCGAAACAGCCAACAAGCAAGTGGCACACATTCTTTCATTTAATTCAATTGAACTTCATCTGATTCCTTTCGCCTGAGATGAGACCGATGAATTGTGAATGATGGTTAGGGGGTGTTTGGATCTGATTCTTAAAACTGTTTATGCTCCTTCAGGGAGCAGAAGCATAAGTTGGAGTGTTCAGGTGAAAGTGCAGAAGTTATTCTGGTGCCCTAATTTACTCCTAGCTAGACTCGGTTTTTTAGTTGGGGGAGACTAGATCTGAAAACTGATTCTGCTTCTGCTTTAAAAAGAAGCAAAAGCAAAATCGGTTCCAAACACCCCCTATGTTGCATGGAAACGTCAACTTTTGCTCAAAGAGGGATTCTTTGGAGAGTTTTCGAGAGTTTTCGAGAGTTTCCGAAACGGAAACGTACTCTTTCCCGAGAGTTTCCGTGCTACATAGTCTGTATAAACTAGTGGAGCCCAATTGCTAGTGTTTGAAAGGGAAAACATGGAACACAACACCCACCTCATAAGTGAAACACATAAAATACTCTGAACGTCCCCGGAGTAGCGTTCGTATGAGTTGACTCGGGTGGGAAGCATACTCAAAATTTTTAAAGTGCTTTGAAGTGGAGTACCCACTTCCATTAGGAATACCAAATATTTGATTCGTTTTTAGATCTAACTGCTATTTTGTCTACTATTTTTGCTAAACTTAAAAAACTGATTTAGTTCCGTGATTTCGGAGAGGAGAGAGGATGATTTGTTCTATTTTACCAAATTATTATTATATATTACGTAGTTAGTTTAGATTAGAAGTCTATAATTGAAATTACTTTTTAAAAAAATATTTAAACCTTGAATTAATCAAATGTAAAGATGTAATAATAAAATAAACTAATTAAGGAAAGAGAGGGAAAACAAGATTTTGGTTCATTTGGCTGATGGGCTAATAAAAAGTAAAAACTTAAAGGTCTAGCAAATCATAAACAACCATATTTGAGACACATAATGCAATGTACGGAGTATTATGTATATATGTTCCTCGGTCAAAACACACACACACAAAGGGTGACTTAGATGAATATTGGCAATAACAGAAGTATCTGTATGGTTGTACTCTTGCTGCATTTCAAAAGGATGTTGCTGCTACTTAAATCATTAAGATCAGCCTTTGGTGGTAATGACAAAAGTGGTATTGCCAGGCGAGGCAGCCCTTCTTTATCACATTTGCACAAACTTGAGAAAAGCCCTGCTGGGTAATGAGCCTTGAGGTTGAGGTAGTCGAACATGGATTTTGAACACTTGGTAAAACTATTCAAATATTGCACAAATGGGCACACAAACTCCACAAAAGTGTCACAACATTGTTTTGCTGGGTAATTTGGACCTTTGCATTGGTTGTTAATGATTGTATAGTTCTTAAACTGAAGGAGGTTTCTTCCAGTGGCATACTGAGAACCCGAAATCCCATCTGAGAGAGCAGTAGTAGAAAATGCAGAAATAGTATAAAGAGCCGTTAGTATAAATAGAGTAATCAAAGTTGACTTTTGCGACCAATCCATGTATAACCATATTTGCCTAGCTTGAAGTCTAGAAATTATTATATGATTACTTAGATCATGTATTTTTCTTAACTTCACAACCAATTAAATGTAAAAATAATTTTAATCCCTTTCCTCACATCCTAAAATCTATGAACCAAACAAGCCCCAAAGCATCTAGCAATGATACATATTTCTTTTCTTGTACAGAGAAAGAGAACTTTTACTTGATTGGATATCCAGATGAGAAAGGGAAAATGGAAAATAATAATTCAACCTTTTAGCGGTCTTCTTACAATAATCGAACCTTTTGGTTATTCATAATAATCCAACCTTTGCACCTCATCTTCATTCACTGGTCCCTGACCGGTTGATGACCTGCTATTCCAAGCTATTTTCTTATCTTTGCAAATCATTATACCATAAATCTCATCTTTCACAAAGATAATATTTCGCAAAGATAAGAAAATAACTTGGAATAGTAGGTCATTAACCGACCAGGGACCAATGAATAAAGACGAGGTGCAAAGGTTGGGTTATTCATGAATAATCAAGAGGTGGGATTATTGAAAGAAGACCGCTAAAAGGTTGGATTATTAGTTTCCATTTCCCCGATGAGAAATGGCATGTTAGTTTACCTTTTGAAGAAGTACCTTCGGAGATCCCGAAGCCTACTTTGGGTATCAACTTTGCAAGAGACGGGATGCTTGCAAGTGATTCTGGATAACATTAGTAGCTGCCCACAGTGAAGCGTGGTTGTTTTTTGTTGCTTTCTACTTTGCTTCCAGATTCGAATTTGATAAAGCTCAAAGGTGTGTGTATTTCAAACTCAATTTCTAAAATATTATTATATGCACGTACAACGCTCCTCATATCTACATTGAGATCAATAACAATTGATAAATGATAATCTTTGTGAATGTACCATCCGCGTTGAATTTTTTTTGTTTTTCGCTTAATCGCTTGGTTTGTTTTTTCTCCTTAGTATCTAAACTAGTGAAATTTATACATTTAGTGTTTCAATATGAATTGGGATTTAATCAAAGAATGGGTTTAGGAACCAATAAAATTCAGTGATGATTATGTCCTATTGGAAATGACTTAATTAAAGTTTATTGTCTTTGGCTTAGCTGTAGTATTCAAACATTTTGGAATCATTTTAATGTGCAGGAATACACTCTTCAACATGATAAGTGATCTTCCTACGGTGCATGAGATTGTGATTCTTGCGTCAAATAAACAACCAAAGGGGGGAAAATCGATCTTAAATCGTATTCGCTCCAAACCAAAGCAAAGTTCCATATCTGTAAGCATTAATATTCTGCATTGTGTTGATAATTTGATCGTAGTATATACATCTTTTTTATATCTTGTGTGCAGGGCTAATCCAAAAAGCGGCAAACCAGAACTTGAAATCAATTGCACTAAACCACATGCACTTCGGTTTGTGGTTTAAGATATAGTTTTTGAAAACCGACCCCTGAAATTAATTAAAGTAAATTAAAGAAACTGAATATGATCAAACAATGCCGACTTGATGGGATTTAATTTAGTATTTTAAAAACTGAACAGACGTGTACCAAATGACAAACACCCTAATTCATGGGGGTGAGATTTTGCAAGTATAGGTTAGGTAGTTGACTACCTGACTTGAACTGGTGTTATTATCTTACCCTTGGACTATTCGTGTGGGAAAAAAAGCAAGCAACTGAAGAGCATGAAGGTAGGACAATGGATGTGAAATTGCTTCGCAATGATGAGGAAGACGAGAAGCACAGCAACACATTGTGTGGTGCTTGCGGCCAACACGATGGACTAGACGAGTTCTGGATATGTCGTAACAAATGTGAAAGGTGGTTACATGGACGGTGTGTAAAAATAACCCCGGCTAAAGCTGAGCACTTGAAGTTGTACAAGTGTACATCTTGCAGCAACAAGAGACCCCACCCTTCTTAACCTTGTTCATAATGCTAAAAAATGCACAGCACCCTCCTAATTGCTATAGGGATATCAACTTTAGGGAGAAGTTAATATGTTGGTCTAGAACATGTTGTCTTTAGAATTTAACTTTTTGAGTGGTTATTCCATGTTTATGTTTATACTAGACTAGTATATCACCCGCGCGATGCACGGTACAAAATTAATATAATGTAGGGTAACTTAAAGACAATGTGTAAATAAATGAATAATAATAATAATTTTTTGATTAAATAATAACAATAATAATAAATAATAATTAATAATAATAATAAATTGTACACAACATAACCAGTTCTACTGTGCACACGTTACAACCGGATAAAGTTCCTATCAATATTTCTGTTGCTCAATCTGGTTTGAACTTTAAAAGTGGGATTGTTGTTCGTAATCATTACGGTGATTTAGTCTTTCACTTTCACGGCAACTACTTTGGCACCTCTTCCTTCACTTTTTTTTTTGAAACAATCCTCATAGCTGTTAATGCTTGCATGTTGAGATCTCTTAGAATCCACAACTTGGACCTCGAGAATTAGGAT